GTTTGCATGGCTGTGTTTCGGTTTGAACGGTGGGATATGGCAGTGAATTTACAGGGTGCAGAGGAATAACACCTGAGTCCTCAGGAATGGCAACGCATGGGGGGTATCATGGGCGAAACAGTATACTCTGTTATGTGCATGGTACTGCTCATGTCTATAGGCGACGGTCACCACTTTCCATCAGGTGGAGCGTTAGCTTTTCAATTGTTACATAAGAAAATGTTGCATAAATAAATATTAATTAATAATTTTTTAATTTTCATATAATAAATACGTCAGCACACCTGCAATGCCGCTGGTGTTGTGGGTGATCATGGGCGGCGGTAGTCACTTACCATCAGGTGAGCCGCATGCTCGTTTGCCACCTGTGTTGTAAAAAAAACATGGGCCCCGATAATTGGGTAAAGATCTCCACCCAGCGGGTACCTATTGATGGACAGCGACGTCAAGGCCGGCCAAGTAACCGATGGCGTGACTGCCTAGATACATTTAAAAGGGATTGGTTTGAATTGGTTTGAGTTTTTAAAGATGGGGGAGACCTTTGTCCGGCAGTGAGACGACGTGTATAATATAGTATATGTCATATATGTGTAAGTATATTTGTTATTTACATATATTTATTCGTTTATATATGTAATTTTAGTATGTATGTATATCAATAATTACTAGTACCGCATTCGAGTATTTTGACACTTGCCTATGGTTGACTGGGAGAGAATGCTTTTAGCATTAAGTCCGCCATGTACACATATTTGTACTTATGAATAAATAAATAAATATATCGAGTGATGTGAGTGTAAACGATTAAAAAAAAACATACACCGGTAAAAGGTACATTGCTGCCATTTGCAATATTTTTTTTTTATAGACCATAAATGCTGCCATAGACAAAAAACTTAGTAGATGATGCGTTGTCTTATATCTCTTTTCATTTCATGTGAACTTTAGAACACAATAGAAAGAGAGAGACAGAATATAACAAATTTTTATGAACAGTGAGCACAGTGTCTAGTAGGACGACCTATTTAAACAATAAAAGGATTGTAAGGCAGTCCAGATATCACGCGATATCTCAGCGAGGGGTCAATTACATCGTGTAAGGGCCGCCATTACAGAATTAACGAGGAATTATTGGCGAAGTGCCGCCAGTTGTGAGGCGTACGATTCGACATAGCTGTCAACTCACGGAATTCTAACTAATATATGTATAACAGGGGGGGGGAAAGGGATTGTTAGTAATGGAGACTGAGAATCCCATTGCTAGCAATATACCCAACCAGCTCGAACTCCTCGCGGTTCCACCTGGAAACTATTATGGTTAATTCCTGATGAATTCATCATGACGGGCTAACTGGCCTGTTTTCATTCTCATCTATCACCCTTCACTGGTGCTCCGCCAGCGTATCCCGTTAGCGCAGGCGGGGTTACCATACCATTTTCACCCATAAAAACAAAATATGTATAACAGATATGTATTTATTTTGATATTATTTGTATGTGTTACTTATATATGTCAACATATTTCATATTTTTTAATAGAAACATCTATAATGTTTGCTCCTATTATTGTACGCACACTGCCCTCTAGTAATTAATGCTCCTCTCCACTCAGGGTTTGCTGGAAGAGAACTCTTACAGAGTTAAGCTCGACTGTTGTACATCTTTATTTTATATATATATTATATGTTGTAATTTTTTGTGTACAATAATGAATAAATAAATAAATAAATAAATAATATTTATATTAATACGTAAAATAAAAACTTTGTACACTTTTTTTTGCGAAAATTGCGCGGACGGAGGAGTGTGAAATATGGCGCACTTATAGTTTAAATAGAGGAGTTCAGGATGCTAGTATTTTTTTTTAATTGTGCATAAAAAATACATTACTCAGTATTTTTGGCTGTGTTTCCGTTTGAAGGGTGGGATATGGCGTGAATTTACTGGGTACAGAGGAATAACACCTGAGTCCTCAGGAATGGCAACGCATGGGGGGTATCATGGGCGAAACAGTATACTCTGTTATGTCCACGGTACTGCTCATGTCTATAGGCGACGGTTGCCACTTTCCATCAGGTGAGGTGGCAGCTTGTTTGCCATTCTAAGTTGTATATAAAAAAAATACTTTTCTCAAACAATGCGCGGAAATCAAAAACACAATTTTACTTTTTAAGTTCAATGACGAATAACGAACAATAATAATTTTTCACGCGCCATAATGTTCGTTTGTATTTTTTTTTTTTCACGGTTACCACTTTCCATCAGGTGGGCCGTCAGCTTGTTTGCCATTCTAAGTTGTATATAAAAAAAATACATTACCCTTTATTCTTGAAAAGTGAGTGTATTTATTGTGCATACTTTCTCTAGTTTCTATTTACCTATTGAAGTGCAAGTGAGGTAAAGAAATAATTAGCATACTAGTGAGTCGAGAAAGTGACGAGCCATCCATGCGCTTCGTTATTGTATCCAGACATTTTTTTTTAATGGGTGATAATGGAATGGCAACCCCACCCGCGCTATCGGTATACACCGGCGGGGCACCAGTGAAGGATGATAGGTGAGCATGAAGCAGGTCAGTTAGCCCATCGTGACGGATTCAACAAGAATTGTTCACGATGGTTTCCAGGGAGCACCACGTGGAGGTCGACCAAATAGGGCATATTGCTAGCAATGGGGCTGTCAAACTCCATTGCTAACAATCCCTTTCCCCCCTATCCACAAATATTACTGACTGGCCGCGTGGTCCCGGCATTGAATAGGCCACCCCTTCCTTTCCCGTGGGTGTCGTAAGAGGCGACTGAGGGAGGACGAGGGTTGACCAGCAGCGTCCCTCTTAAAGCATCTCTAAAAGCCTAATTGCGGTTGCCAAACCGCTTGCCAAGCGTGGCAACTACTAGTAAACTACCGTCAAACTATCGTGATTGATTCATTGGTGAATTCGTCACGATGGGCTAACTGATCTGCTTCATGCCCACCTATCATGTTCGAGGGATGGGCAGCAGCGTCTCTCTTAAAAAAAAATTCTAAATCCTAACTGCGGTTGCCAACATTGTTGCCAAGGGTGGCAACTACTGGCAAAACACTTTATGGGGGAGTCCTATGTCGAGTACTTGATGAAATAATGACACGATGTTATATCATAACAATTTTCGATAGACTCCTGTTTTTGGAATACAATTTAAAAGATAGATAGATAGGTATTTATTTATTTATTTAACAAAATATGTTTGTATTAGCACAGAATTTATCATTGTTTCCTACACTAGGCCGAGCCTGTCCTGTAGGAAGCAGTACTCGTGTTTGCATATACATGCATATAGGTATTAAACATAGGCTTTTTAGCAGTACTGACAATTGTGTAACTAATCTGTATAATGCAATCTAATAAAACTAATCTATTTGGCTGTCTCGTATTTTTTTTGGGTATTGTTGTACAGCAGTTATTTGCTAAAATATTTTTTGACAAATACTGCTATTTCGTATATGTACTACACACATGGTAAGGGAAGAAGGCGAAGTTTTTTGAATAATGCCCGACATGATTTCCAAGGTGGGATACCACAGATGGCACGAACACATTTTTTTTTTTGAACAAGTAAAGCTTGAAGTGCGTCTGTTGAGTTTCCCCAGAATATTAGCCCATATTGTTGATGACAATGACTCGTACACTAGCTTGGATTGTACAATATACTTATTCGTACAACATTGTACGAGAACATTATACGAATTTTACGAGAATATATTAAGATTTCTCATTTTCTTTTTTATACCACTGAGGTGGCGAACAAGCATACGGCCCACCTGATGGTAAGCGGTTACCGTAGCCTATGAACGCCTGCAATACCAGAGGCATTACGCTCGCGTTGCCGACCCTGAAGAAACCTCTTTACCCCCCTTTTGAAGAACCCCATGCTGTAGTCTCTCGGGAAAACCTCGGCAGGGAGCTCATTCCATAACCTGAGTGTTCGTGGGAGAAAGCATCTCTGAAACCGCGTTGTAAATACAATTGTTTTTTTCATATCTCCCATGTACAGATCCCATGTACCGTCTAGTTACAATGCTTTATTAGTTTATAATACCTAATACATAGTATAAAACGAAGTCGCTTCCCGTCTGTCTGTCCCTGTGTACGCTTAGATCTTTAGAACTACGCAACGGATTTTGATGCAGTTTTCTTTAATAGATTCAAGAGGAAGGTTTTATATATATAATACATGTGTAATATTGTAGAGAAACACTGATAAATTTAGAGGTTTCTAATGTGACGTGACGTAATGTGCACCCGTGCGAAGCCGGGGCGGGTCACTAGTTAATATACGAGTAAGATCACCATAGGGAGACTTTGTAAAAAAGTAGTTTGTTTGGGTAACTAGACGAGCTTTTTCGACCAAATTACATGGAAGGTAAACCGGTAGCCGTCAGCTTGTTTGCCATTCTAACTTGTGTAAAAAAAAGTTATTACATTATTTTTTTATTTATTATTTATACCACAAAGGTAGTAAACAAGCATGCAACCCATCTGATGGTAAACGGTCACTGTAGACTATGGACGCCTGCAACACTGGGGGTGTCACGTGCGCGTTGCAGACTTTGAAGGGACCTTAATACACCGTTTTTGAAGAGCCCCATACTTTTTTTTTTCTTTTTTTTTTTTATACAACTTAGAATGGCAAACAAGCTGTGGGCCCATATTATATACCTATTAAAATGGCTAAATACAAGATTTTTTTGCAGTCAAATTTAAAAAGTTTACATTTAAAAAAAAAAAAAACCTTACCAGAATACAGTTATATAGATAACGGATAAAAGAGTTTAGCAAACTCGATTTATTTACTGTTGGCTGTGTCGAATATTAAAAAGACAAATAAAAACCTGTTTCGAATATGCACAAAGGATACGAATAAATTTAGCAATGAGTACCTACCTGAGTGCGGTTTAAAAAAAAAAAACTAAAGCTAACATAAGAGCAAATATTTGGCATTATAATTATAAGGACTTACATTAATGTTTGTTGAAAAAAAAAACACTCGAATCTCAATTTGAATTACGAATAAAGAAAAAACTTAACACTCGCTTTTTTAAATCAAAGACACAAACAATGCAAGCGCATATCGCGACGACAACTGGCGAACGACGCGAGCGAGGCAAGGCAACTGACTTGATTGCTATTGCTACTCGCTGGCTGTCTGCGTGCACGCACTGGCTCGCGGTTAATTAAAAAAAAATGTACTACAAACTGACGTACGTGTATTTTTTATTTTTTAAATCTTTTTTTTTTAAATACCACGAACAGAAGTAGTATGAACTAGCGATGCGCGACTTTACTAATTGGCTTACTAATTATAAATTTATTATACTTTGTGAGACTCGTAATAGGTATGAGCTCCCTTCGTCAATTATCTTCTTCGAATATAATATGGGGTTTTCTAAAAAAGTGCTTGAAAACATTTAAAAGGTGTTATTTTTATTATTTGAAGTATCGTATCTGTCCTGTAATTTAAAAATGGCCTGACCTTTTACTTCGAAACATGGCTACCAAGGAGGTAACTAATAAAAGGTTTCATTTAAATTTCGAATTAGTTTGCAAACAGAAAGCTGTTTATTGAAAAAAAAAAATACAAAGGAACATTATGGCGCGTGAAAAATTATTATTGTTCGTTATTCGTCATTGAACTTAAAAAGTAAAATTGTGTTTTTGATTTCCGCACATTGTTTGAGAAAAGTATTTTTTTTATATACAACTTAGAATGGCAAACAAGCTGCCACCTCACCTGATGGAAAGTGGTAACCGTCGCCTATAGACATGAGCAGTACCGTGGACATAACAGAGTATACTGTTTCGCCCATGATACCTCCCATGCGTTGCCATTCCTGAGGACTCAGATGTTATTCCTCTGTACCCAGTAAATTCACGCCATATCCCACCCTTCAAACCGAAACACCTAAGCTTATATACCGTAGTTAGTGTGTAAATATCAGGGCTTATGAAAAAAAAAACAAAGATATCAGAGGTCTTAATAAGACTAATAGAGGGCAAAGCGATAATTTAAGATATTTTGTCTGTATGTCTGCGCGTTAGTTTCGACATCATGCAAAAACTACTACAAGAAATTGAAATAAATACCAATAGATCGATATTGTAATTGAGACGTTCCGCATTCTAGAATTGCAACACTAGCGACAGGGGGAAAGGGATTGTTAGTAATGGAGACTGAGAATCCCATTGCTAGCAATATACCCAACCAGGTCGACCTCCTCGCGGTTCTCCAATGAAACTATCATGGTTAATTCCTGATGAATTCATCGTGATGTGCTAACTGGCCTGTTTTCATTCTCACCTATCACCCTTCACTGGTGCTCCGCCAGCGTATCCCGTTAGCGCAGGCGGGGTTACCATACCATTTTCACACATCAAAAAACTGCGTTTGCTACCTCGCCTTATGAGGAAGTTGTATGTCTAGCAGTGGACAGTTAATGGCTGCAATAATGATAGTAATAAAAATTTCCCACGTACATACGTCTTACAATTTCATAAGAGAATGAGAAGCAGTGTGATTAGAGACAAGTGTGGACTGAACGACGATGTAGTGACGAAAATCGAAAAGAGAATGTTGCGTTGGTTCGGCCATTTGGAGAGGATCGATTCAAAGAAGAATTACGAAAGAGATTTATCGAGCAAGAATGAATGGAGATGTCGGTAGGGGCCGCCCTAGATGGACGTATGTCGACCAAACAGGCGACGTGCTGAGGAAGGGCCAAATTAAAAGTACCCGTAACCGACGAGCGTGCATGAAAAGATTGATGAATGTGGAAGAAGCGAGAGAGGTTTGTTTGAATCGAAGCATTTGGCGTTCCATTGTTCCTGCCTATCCTAATGGGAGACAGGCGTGACAGATATGTATATATAATTATTTCAGCCATTATTCGTCCACTGCTGGAAATAAGCCTCCCCCATATACTGTCATAAAGAACGGTCCTGAGCCATTTATATCTACTGACTTCCAGCAAATGAAGCCGAGTAGTTTGAAGCTTTTGCTGGTATACAAAAGCTTCAAGTCATTCAGCGGGCTATGGAGAGGGCAATGCTCGGAGTCTCTTTGCGTGATAGAATCCGAAACGAGGATATCCGCAAAAGAACCAAAGTAACCGACATAGCCCGAAGGATAAGCAAGCTGAAGTGGCAATGGGCTGGTCACATAGCTTGAAGAACCGACAACCGATGTTTGTATTCAGCAAGTTTTTTTTTATACAACTTAGAACGGCAAACAAGCTGACGGCCCACCTGATGGAAAGTGGTAACCGTCGCCTATAGACTTGAGCAGTACCGTGGACATAACAGAGTATACTGTTTCGCCTATGATACCCCCCATCTATTGCCATTTCTGAGGACTCAAGTGTTATTCCTCTGTACCGTGTAAATTCACGCCATATCCCACCCTTCAAACCGAAACACAGCCATGCAAACACAACTGCTTCACGGTAGAAACAGTTATTTAGTTATGGAGGTAAGAAAAAAACCAAATTTCCTTTAATATTTATATTGTTAAAGATTTACAGAATGCATTGCTTTGTTTACACGTATAGTTCTCTGTGATAAGTAGTCGACCAGCTCCTCCAGGGTGAGTAACTCCGGCTGCGTCGCGTGGTGGGCTTCACTTCTGTACACTTCGTACTTGGGTACAGGGTCCAGCGTCGACTTCCCACACACTACTATGTACGGGTAGCCCATCCTGTAAACATGATTCATAAATATACTAATATTGTAAAGAGGAAAGTTTTTTTTATACCACTGAGGCAAACAAGCATACGGCCCACCTGATGGTAAGCGGTTACCGTAGCCTATGAACGCCTGCAATACCAGAGGCATTACGCGCGCGTTGCCGACCCTGAAGAAACCTCTTTACCCCCCTTTTGAAGAACCCCACGAAAGTGGAAAATAGCTGTGTAATCCCGGCATAGAATAGACCACCCCTTCCTTTCCCGTGGGTGTCGTAAGAGGCGACTAAGGGAGGGCGAGAGATGGACAGCAGCGTCCCTCTTAAAACATCTCTAAAAGCCTAACTGCGGTTGCCAAGCCGCTTGCCAATTTATTATTTATTTATTTATTTACAAGAAACATGGTAAGTGTATAGATGTTGCAATAAGTATAAGTCCTTATATTTCGCCATAATTAGGCATGAAAATTATGCACTTAAAAAGAATAAATGTTAAATGAGTCATTAAAATTCGAAATGTTATATAAAAAAAATACATCAAAAATGTCAGACACTTGTCAACAATAAAAAAGAAACGTCACTGTCAAATCGTGGGCTATTGATGACAGCTGCGTTGTAACACGACAGGTAATTCAAGTAGGTTGTTTACCTTTTTGTATCAAAAACTGCTTGCACACTGTAAAAGGACACCTCAACAAGCCAAGCGTGGCAACTACCAGTAAACTACCGTCAAACTATCGTGATTGATTCATTGTCGAATTTGTCACGATGGGCTAACTGACCTGCTTCATTCTCACCTATCATCCTTCACTGGTGCCCCGCCGGTGTATACCGATAGCGCGGGTGGGGTTACCATTCCATTATCATCCATTAAAAAACCTGAATCGATTCCGAACTGGGCCGTGGGTTTACAAAAATAACGACAACGGAATATCAGTGTTTTGCTCTTTTGAGGGCAAAGAAATAAACTGAGCTGTGACCAATTTGTGTTACTATGGCACACGCATGAAGGAAGGGAGAGAAAGGAGATTGTTAGTTTATATATTTTGGTTTTTTTTTTTATTTGTGCTTTTTTGTTTTTCATTCTTTTATCTCTTCTACTGTGTATTATGTGTATGTTTTTTTATTGTTATTTGTGTGCTGTAAGTAATGTAAATAAATTATCTATCTATCTATCTATTTACTCAAAAATGCTTACAATTCAGTTTACTTGAGTAAACCAGAGGGAGACTTTGTACAAAAGTCGATTGCTTGAGCACCTCTGTCCCATTCGTGTTTCAACCGTGAAGCAGTTGTGTTTACATGGCTGTGTTTCGGTTTGAAGCGTGGGATATGGCGTGAATTTACTGGGTACAGAGGAATAACACCTGAGTCCTCAGGAATGGCAACGCATGGGGGGTATCATGGGCGAAACAGTATACTCTGTTATGTCCACGGTACTGCTCGTGTCTATGGGCGACGGTTACCACTTTCCATCAGGTGGGACGTCAGCTTGTATGCCATTCTAAGTCGTATATAAAAAAAAAAAACTCGTTTTATTTCACTGAACTAGGCGTTATCTTGCCTTAGTCCGTATCACTGGTTATTTATTTAGAATTATTTTGTTTAATTCCGCTACCATCAGTATGTGTGCGACTGACAACACTTAAAAATTGGCCACCACTATTACTAGCTCCACAACCTTCCATATTAGCCGTAAATCTCCGACCGCCATTCCGTCCACGCACGTTTTGCAACACGGTGTTTCATCTCTAAACGAGGCATCTGCAGGCAAATTAGGAGATCGCTGCTGACCTCTTGTTTTTTTTTTTTTATATTAAATTTGATATTTTTTGGAACAAAACATATTATGTACAAAGTCTCCCTCTAGCGAATGAGTGCTTTCCACCAGGCAGGCCGTACCTGTCGGCCATCAGGAGCCGCTTGCCGATGGTGAGGCCGTGCCTGTCGTCCAGCAACACGTCGCCGCCGAGCGCTGGCACCGCGGCGGCGGCCCTATATACCCGCTGCACCGCCTCCCAGCCGTGCTGCGACCACTCCCTCGAGCCTTCCTGGACGCAGAGCAAGTATAAATAAATAAATAATGTTCAATTGGTAATATTTACTATTTAATAGATCAGCTATTATTATTATGATTTAAAAACAAAATGGCTGAACCGATTTTGATAAAATTCTCCCTAACAAAAGGCTATAAAATCCTAACTTTATAGCCGCGTGGTCCTGACATAGAATAGCCCTTTCCTTTACCGTGGGTGCCATAAGTGGAAGGGCGAGTGATGAGCAGGGACGCTGCTGCGTCTTAAAACACCACCAAATCCTAATTGTGGTTGCCAAACTGCCAAGTGTGGCAACTATTGGAAATACACCCTAACATGGGGAGGCCTATGTTCAGCAGTTCAGCTAACAGCTGATATGATGGTGACGGGGGAAAGGGATTGTTAGTTATGGGCCCTATTGCTAGCAAGCCCTGTCAGGTTGACCTCCACGCGGTTCCCCATGGAAACCATTGTGACTAATACTTATTTGCAATTACCACGATGGGCTAACTGACCTGCCTTTTCATTCTCACCTATCACGTGTCCCTGGTACTCCGCCAGCGTATACCGTTAGCGCAGGTGGGGTTACCATTCCTTTATCATACATTAAAAAAACATCACCAAACCTAACTTACTTGCGCGTTCACCGCTAAGAAAACCCCATTTGCTGTGGCTCCACAGTTCCAAGGCACGTCTCTTAACATCTCTAAGCATCCTTGGGATCCTTGGTGTCGACATCTCTAGTGATGTACAATTCCGTGGCCACCTCGAAGATAAGGTGAAGCTGGCATCCAAAAAACTCGGTGTGCTCAATAGAGCGATAGTCTATAGGCGACGGTTACCACTTTCCATCAGGCGGGCTGTCAGCTTGTTTGCCATTCTAAGTTGTATAAAAAAAAGTACTAGAAGTGTCCCACACTAGGCCAAAGGAACCGGCTCGGCTGATGCTGTGAGTGTCCCAGGGCAATGTGAACAGCTGCACAGCGCTGGTTTTCAGCCAGGTCTCTCTCTTAACAAATAATAGTTGAAGGCACTAACTTTAGGTCCAATGATGATGGCACTGTAGGGCGCTATGCCCTCGGGCCACCGAAGCGACTTCTCGCTGGATAGCGCCTCCACGCCCGCTGCGAATAACCTGCAACAAATTCATTTGTCATTTATTAAAAAAAAAATACATTGTGTATGAAATAAAAAAAAAAAAAAGGTAAAAGGTATGTTTGTGTAAGCACAAAATGTATCATTGATTCCCACACTCGGCATACACCGGCGGGGCACCAGTGAAGGATGATAGGTGAGGATGAAGCAGGCCAGTTAGCCCATCGTGACGTGTTTCAACCGTGAAGCAGTTGTGTTTCGGTTTGAAGGGTGGGATGTGGCAGTGAATTTACTGCGTACGGAGGAATAACACCTGAGTCCTCAGGAATGGCAACGCATGGGGTTGCATGGTCGCATGGTCCATGGTACTGCTCATGTCTATAGGCGACGGTTATCGCCTATAGACATGATGCATGCCACTTTCCATCAGTTGGGCCGTCAGCTTATATGCCATTCTAAGTTGTATAAAAAAAAAATTCAACGAGAACTGTTCACGATAGTTTCCAGGACGGACTACTGGGGGGTCAACCTGACAGGGTACATTGCTAGCAATGGGGCTGTCAAACTCCATTGCTAACAACCTCTTCCTCCCCCCTGAAGTTGGTTGCAGGTACTCGCCTGGTGATCCCGATCCCGTAGCAGGACATGGCCAGCGGACGCGTAGACCCGGCCGCCGGCACCACGAGCGCCCGCAGCGGCTCGCTGTACCGCGTGCCCAGGACGAACGTGTGACCCACCTGCGGGGAGATTAAATATTTATTTATTTATAGCAAGGCGACAGATTACAAATTAATACATTTATAAAATAAATATTACATGAAACGGCATCAAATTTGCACTCCAACAACTGTTCTGCATTACATTCGATATTAGAGACATTAAAAGAACGACGGCTATAGATTTAAAGTAACTAATTGGCAGCCTTAATGTAACGTTGCAAGGATTGTTGGAAAATATCAAGCTCCTTGCATACATTGTAACATTTTCTGCGCACGCGCATAATTGGGATTGTGACACGATACATCATTATTACAAATCGGTGTATAAAATAATTTTTGTATTCTTTTATCACCTGTACGGAATGAAACAAGGCTCAGCAATGTACTAGTGTCCCATTTATAATTTACTACTTTATAAAGAGTGATGAAATCAGACATAGATCACACACACACACACATATATAGATGTCATACATACAATAATAATAATTTATTTCAAAATAAATGTTACGTTTTAAATATAGGTGAAACTCTGCTCCCTAAATAGGTAAATCTTGTACTTTAGGATAAGCCTATAAGTACAATAAAATTACAGGGATCGGGAAGCATTAGTTTCTCTCGATTAAAAAGACACAGTATCCAAGGACTGGTAGAAAGATTTACAGGCAGAGACTGAGAGCTGATTAATGGATTGGCCTCATCATTTATTGACAAAATTTAAACCTGACATCCAAACAGCAGATTGGATTATTGTTCTATAAGGAACAGATTGCCAATTAGCAGACTAGAAAAAGAAAAAAAAAAAAAAAAAAAAAAAAAAAGGTAAGCAGTGCTCTGCCCTATATAATGACACAAAGTATATAACTTTGTGTCATTATGCCGTATAGGGAAGAAAGAAACAATAAACTCTGCCTCACGACTCTGGAATGCGCCACCCATGGACATAAGACAAATTTCTAACAAATTTATTTTTAAGAGAAAAGTCTACGAATACCTTTGGCAAAAAACTGTGAAAGCAGTTCACCTTCATCATCATCATTTTTGATCTCTATCGTTGTTTATTTGTGTTATCGTATATAATCTATAAGTATATATATATATATATATATATATATATATATATATATATATATATATATATATATATATATATATATATATATATATATATATATATATATATGTGTATATTTATATTTGTATGTATGTATTTTTATTACATATTTGTTTAATATATTCATGTATGTATATTTATATAATCTCCATTGTATGTGTTGTGATTTTTTTTTTACCGCATATTAAAATTTCTGTTTTGCCAATGGTTGACTGCGAGAGAATGCTATATAAGTATTAAGTCCGCCTTTTGTACCAGACATTTTTTTTTTGTAATGTGGTCAATAAAGCATAAATAAATAAATAAAAGTAAAGGTACTAATACGGTAATAATTTAATTTGTCCTTTATCCTTTAATTTTTAATATATATCTTCGACTATATAGACAGACACTCTCTATTGTTCCCTCCATAAGATTACAATAGTAAACTTATTATAGATACAAACAATTAGATACAGCGTCTCCATACAAATGCTTCGAGAAATGCGGCTCAACTTTTTCATACAAATTTTTTTTTACAACACGGGGCAAACGAGCATGCGGCTCACCTGATGGTAAGTGACTACCGCCGCCCATGATCACCCACAACACCTACGGCATTGCAGGTGTGCTGCCGGCCTTTTAAAAAGGAGTATGCTCTTAAGTTATGTTGTCGTATCGGTTCGGAAACACTGCTGCTGGGAGTTGATTCCAAAGAGTGGTTTGACAAATAGTTACGAGTGATCCCTTTATACGCAAATGCCATCAGACGCAAACGGATCGCATCTCCTTTATACCGACTGCGTGGCAGCAGTGACAGCATGCTGTGGGTCAAAATTATTACAGGGGCAATAAAATGAATTTTGTATTTTTTTTTCTACTAAATAAATATAGAAGTTATATATATATATATATATATATATATATAACTTCTATATTTATTTTGTTTTATAATTTTGCATATTTTTAATGCGTAAAGACTTATTTTATTTATTAAAATAATACGTCAAGATACATTGTATGCGTAAGTATATAGAACACTGATAAAAACAAACGAATTTGACAATTAGCTGACAAAAAGTTGACACGTTTTTTAGGCTCAATGCCTTAATCTATATAATCTAAGTATATAAAAACCTCAATAGAATTCGCTATCTCCATCTCTTTCCCGCACCGTCCGCAGCCACTGCCGCTAGTGTCGAGCGTGGCGTGCGAGCAGGACGGACACACGGCTATCTGGTCCTCGCCGGCGGCGGCGCGGAGCTGCCACTCGTGCGACACGCTGCCGCCCATGTCGCCGGCAGGGGCCGCCACTGGCGATATACAATAACACGCCATCAGGTGGGGAAGGGATTGTTAATAACGCGGGCTACCATATTCCATTGCTATCTAGTCCCATTGCTAGAAATACACCCTGTCAGGTCGAGCTCGACGTGGTCTCTCCTGGAAACCATCTTGCTCAATTCCAGGTGTATTCATCGCGATGAGCTAACTGCCTTGCCTTTTCATCTTCACCTGTCATCCCTCACTGGTGCCCCGCCAGTGTATACCGATAGCACAGGTGGGGGTTACCATATCATCTATTAAAAAAAAATGGCAAACAAGCTAACCCGGTACCTGATGGGAGGTGGCAACCGTCGTCTTTAGACATGAACAGCACTGTGGATACTGCATACTGTTTCGTCCATGACACCCCCCATGCGGAGGGGAAAAGGATTGTTAGCAATGGAGTTTGATAGCCCCATTGCTGGCAAAATACCTTATTATGTCGACCTCCACGTGGTTCCCCCTGGAAACCATCGTGAACAATTCTTGTTGAATTTGTCACGATGAGCTAACTGACCTACTTCATCCTCACCTATCATCCCTCACTGGTGCCCCGCCGGTGTATACCGATAGCGCGGGTGGGGTTACCATTCCATTATCTTCCATTTAAAAAAAAAGACCCCATGCGTTGCCATTCCTGAGGACTCAGATGTTATTCCTCTGTACCCTGTAAATTCACGCCATATCCCACCCTTCAAACCGAAACACAGCAAACACAACTGCTTCACGGTAGAAACACGAATGGGACAGAGGTACCCAAGCGGACGATTTCAGTACAAAGTCTCCCTCTAGTGGACGTTTTATTAAAACAGTTGACTGTAATTCACTCACCTCTATAGACGGGCAGTTGTAACTCTTGGAAGATCTGCGCGTAGGCGTTGGTGAGGCGCGCGTATACGTCGGGCTCGGCGTGTGAGCCTGCGGGATTGTGTGAATCTGCGGGATTATTAGACTCTGTGGGATTGTGCGAGTCTGCGGGATTGTGAGCGTGCGCGGCGTACGCGTCGAGCATGAGGAACTCCCGCGCCCGCAGCAGGCCGTGCTTGGGCCGCCGCTCGTCGCGGTACTTGCTGCTCACCTGCACACCAGGCCAGTCGAATGGTTTGTTATACATCAGAACAGACAACAATCAGACACTCTACTTTTATTTATATGTATAGATGATACCTGGCTGTGTAACTGACCTGATACAGTAATAAAGGCAACTGTTTGTACGAGATGGGCCCGACATCCGCCAGCAGGTCGGCGATAGCTTCTTCGTGGGTCTGCAATACACAATTGCATTACTGTTATTTTTCTTTACAACACAGGAATGGCAACGCATGGGGGGTATCATGGGCGAAACAGTATACTCTGTTATGTCCATGCTACTGCTCATGTGTATAGGCGACGGTTACCACTTTCCATCAGGTGGGCCGTCAGCTTGTTTGCCATTCTAAGTTGTATAGAAAAAAAGCTCCTATTACTAGAAAACTGTACTTATTCTTTTTTCTTTTTGTTTCCTTAATCTTTAATTATTATTGTTGTTAGTAAAAAAAAATGACATATCACCTTCAATTCAACTTACTGGCGCCAGCAGATACTTCTTTCCATGTCTGTCCTCCATTTTCATTAATTCCACACCCACTTCATCTAATCTACCAGTTCTCTCCCATAGGCTCTCCGCCGTCAGAGCTGGTAATGTAATTCTCTGAGCACCGGCCGCTTCTATGTGCCTTCGTATGAGGTGGATGAGTTTCTCGACTGAACGCTGCGCCAGTGGCAGCAGGGAGAAGAATCCGGAGCTTGTTGGTCGTATCAGGCCACATTCTAGAAGTAACTGTTCAGATAAATTATATTAAAACTAACTACCTGGTTTGGTTTCGTACAGGTAGATTTTTTCTCATACAACTATGGTGGTAAACAAGCATACAGCCCGTCTGACGGTAAAGGGATTTTTTTTAATGGGTGATGATATATGCTGGCGGGGTACCAGTGAGGGATGACAGGTGAGCATGAAAGCAGGTCAGTTAGCCCATCGTGACGAATTCCACTAGAATTAACCACGATGGTTTCCAGGGGGAATCGCGTGGAGAAATAAAATAAAATACATAAAGCCGAGTACAATTTTTTCTTTTGTGCGTGCGCCATAACAATACAAAATGGTCACAACCCAGTTTATCGCTTCGCCCTCAAAAGAGCAAAGCACTGATATCCTGTTGCGGCCAAAGGGAACAGGGTAACAATAAAAGATTTTTTTGTTTCTCTGTCTGTTTTAAACCGATTTGGAAAGTTATTTTTTTATCTGACAAGTATAGGATATACTTGCAGATTGGTCTCAGAGAAATTTTTAATTAAAATCACTTCACTAGTTATTATATAAAAATAACTTTTTTTTTTTATACAACTTAGAATGGCAAACAAGCTGACGGCCCACCTGACTTCCCAACTTCACTACCATCCGTTCAATTTAATAGTCATTGAGGAACAAATATTTAAACAATAATTGCTTAGAAATATCTAAACTTTGTTTATTTAGTAGGACTTATAATTTGTAACCAACTTTAAAAAAGAAAGTTCTCAATTCCATTGTTTTTTTTTGTTAGTTTCCTCATAACACTGTCAGTTGTAAAACGATTTTGAAAAACATTTTTTTTATTTGAATGGATATATTTTCAAATTGGTCTCATAGAGATATTATATAAATCTCTATGTCTAGATATTATAAAAGTCTAGTTTTTATATAAAAATAACTATTTTTTTTTAAATCAAATTAACTGATATTTCCTCTACTGAAGTCGGTGTTTGTTTGTAGAGCCCAATCTTAAATTGTACATACAACTTTGTTCCTGTATTAATTTATAATATAAAATTAGTTTTTACAAATGTTTTTAATTTCTTATCACATACTATGATGTAATTAGGTATGTTTACAATTTAATTTCGCTTACCTTTTGGCTTTTGCATGTAATGTCGGTATTTTTTATTTTAGCATTCTTTGGTATCGATATCACAGGCTGGAATATTTGGGAAACGTATCTCATTTTGGAAACATTAAGCTTCATTTTGTTGTTTTTTAATTTTAGAGGTTATATCACAGAGTAAGATATGATGGGCTAATATGTCTAAAGACAGCTGTCTGTGAAAGACAGCTAGAAAACTGTCATGTAACAATTTATAGTATAGATCAAGCAAATGTCTACAATTATTAACCTATCTATGGCAGGTGTTTAGTCATTTAATATATTCTCTAGGAATTTGGCATAAGTAGATTCATTTTTATAATCTCATTTCTAGATTCTGACTGATCTAGATAATTATTTTAGTCGTTAATTGTCCATTGCTAAACATAAGCCTTCCCCATAAAGGGAGTTTTGCCAGTAGTTGTTATTAAGTAAAGTTACTTTCACCTAAGGTAGAGATTGAGAACAACACGTAATTTATTTGTTTTGGTCCAGTATTCGCAGGTATAGTTCACTACAATAAGGAGTTTAGAAATGTTAATCGAAGGAATAACAAATACCACGTGGACAAAGTCACAGGCATCAGCTAGTTAGACATAATTAATGTAAGAAACTTTGGATAACTGTAATTTATTTCCTTGTTATGCTACTATAACTATTACATTATGTGATTTGCATATGCAGAACCATTTTGTCTGTGGCAATTTTCGATCAATCATCATTATGCCAGCCGTTTACTGTTCATCTCTGAACATAGGCCTCTCGTTTGAGAGGTTTTGTCAGTAATTTCTAATGGTAAATTTTTTTTGATGCATGAAAATGGTATGGTAACTCCGCCTGCGCTAACTGTCAGATTATTATTGACAACTATGTAGGTAGTTACATATAAGATATTCAAGGTAACTTGTATGAATCTTCATTATAATAAATCAGTGATTGTTTCAAGCTCTTCTTTTATTGACGTGCTCCACCTATCAAAGTTGACACTAACGGGATACGCTGGCGGAGTATCAGTGAAGGGTGATAGATGAGAATGAAAACAGGCCAGTTAGCCCATCATGATGAATTCATCAGGAATTAACCATGATAGTTTCCAGGGGGAACCGCGAGGAGGTCGACCTGGTTGGGTATATTGCTAGCAATGGGATTCTCAGTCTCCATTACTAACAATCCCTTTCCCCCAATTCTAATGGTATTTATCAGTTATTTATTAAATTAGAATAAAATATTGAATAATAGTGAATGTAATGAACACACACAATGTATTTATCTAAGACATACATATATTTCTTATTTTTTTTTTTATTATTTTTTTCTATGAATTTCGCGGCTCACTTTTGGTCACAACGGAATATCAGTGTTTTGCTCTTCTTAGGGCGAAGCAATAAGCTGAGTTGTGACCATTTTGTGTTACTGTAACACAGGCATGAAGGGAAAAAATTGTTACATATTTTATGCATTTTGTATTAATTTTTTGTATATGTATTTTTTTTTTATCTTTTTTCACTGTGCATTTATGTCTATTGTTGTTTGTGTGCTGTAAGTAATGCAAATAAATTATCTATTTTTTTTTATTGACCATATTACAAAAAATCTATCTATCTACCTAGGTTACACTCTGGGTTCGTTGCACGCGTCCGTGTAGCCTAACTTCAGGCTGCAGCTGACAGTCAGTGCTTTGCTTTTAAGCAAAACTATCACTGAGCTGTGGCCCATTTGGGTCACTGCGACACACGTGGCGGAAACATATTTTCGTATTAGATATTTTTGTTTTATATTAAAAAAAAAAAACGTATGTGTAAATAACGTGATTGTATAAACTCATTTGTTAATTTACGTGTGTCATAAATGGCTTATATAAATTGTTTATCTGTCTACCAAATGGTTAGGCTTGACAGGCGGGTTAGCAACCGCAGTTAGGCTTACGTGATGTTTTAAGAGGGGCGCTGTTTTTTATAATGCATGATAATGGTATAGTAACCCCATCTGCACTAAGTGAGACATGGTAAGTGACAATATAAAGGCAGGTCAGTTAGTCCATCGTGATGAATACATCTGGGATTAAGCACGATGGTTTTCAGGGAGGACCTGATAGGGGGTACTGCTAGCAATGGGACTAGTAATTCGCATTACTCTTCGCCTTCGCTGTTCCTTAATCGGTTCTTATAACACCCGCGGGAAAGGATGAGGTGGCCTATTCTATGCCGGGAACACACAGCATTAATCATAGCTTCGATCAATATATATTACAAAAGCTCAAGTTTTGTTTAATTTCTTTGTTTATGGTTTCTTTACGCTTTTTGTTGTACAAATTTCCACTCTTTACTAGTTAATGGTTGATCTCGGCCAGTGGCGTTACAATAGGGTGGCAGCGCTGGCAAAATGCCACGGGCCCCCGACCCAAAAAGGCCCCGGCTGAAGAGGCCGCGAGTTCAGAAGAAGAGTTTTTTTTTTACCTTGTACCTGAGTATTTCGTTTTATTTAAAAATAAATGGTAGGGCCCAATCAAAACAATTTGTCACAAGCCCCAAATAGTAAAGTTACGCCACTGTTTTTTAATAATAGTTCTCGGCACTAGTTTATTCCTTTTATTAAATGTTACATACATTTTTAATTTACATAATACGAGTACAAAATATAATGATGTTATTTCAAACATAAAACAATATAATGATGTTATTTCAAATACATTTTTATTGTACCTTAATTTATATCCTTCATCATCGTGTCAGCCTTTAACTGTCCACTGATGGACATAAGCCTCCCCTTGGGCGGTTTTGCCAGTAGTTGCCACGCTTGGCAGGCGGATTAGCAATCGCAGTTAAGCTTTGGAGATGTTTTAAGAGGGACGCTGCTGCCCATCTCTCGCCCTCCCTTAGTCGCCTCTTACGACACCCACGGGAAAGGAACGGGTGGTCTATTCTATGCTGGGACCACGCGTCATTAGAAAACCTAAAATATTTTTATTAATTTATTTAAACTTTATTGTATACAACAATTACATTGTTACAATTTACATATCATAAATTTACCTATCGAAGTGAATATCTATCCACCCGCGCGAAACCGGGATGGATCGCTAGTTTCCTGTAAAGAACTCTCGATGCGTGTGTATAACTCAATCTTAGATTATATTATATATATATATATATATATATATATATATATATATATATATATATATATATATATATATATATATATATATATATATAAATGTTTCAAGAAAAGCGGCTCAACTTTTCCATACAATTTTGCGTGATAAATAGTTACGAGTGATTCCTTTATAACTTCTATATTTATTTTGTCTTATAATTTCTGCATCTATTTAATGCGTAAACACTCGTTTTGTTTATTAAACAATTAAATATAGATACGTCAAGATACATTGTGTGCGTAAGTATATAGAACACTGATAAGAAAGACGGGTCAGCTAATTGGACAATTGGCTGACTCGTTTTTGAGGCTCGATGCTCTATTTATATTATCTAAGGGTTAAAATAATAATAAAAAGGTATAAAAGGTATCTTTTTTTTATACAATTTAGAACGGCAAACAAGCTGACGGCCCACCTGATGGAAAGTGGTAACCGTCGCCTATAGACATGAGCAGTACCATGGACATAACAGAGTATACTGTTTCGCCCATGATACCCCCCATGCGTTGCCATTCCTGAGGACTCAGGTGTTGTACTCGGCAAATTCACGCCATATCCCACCCTTCAAACCGAAACACACCCATGCAAACACAACTGCTTCACGGTTGTAACACGAATGGTACAGAGGTACACAAGCAATCGACTTTTGTACAAAGTCTTTCTCTGGTAATCTATAAATATATATAACTCAATAAAGTAAGCTCTAAGCTTTAATTCCCACTCGGCCGGTGATTTTACCGAAGTAAATAGACCAAAAACCATCTACGACCCCTATTCTGCGACGGAAGCGCCCCCTATATTTGCTTTCCGCTCGACCGAATCCCTTTATCGTTGATAATTAACTCTTATAATTGTCCGGTTTTTGTGTTTATCCCGCCATTTTCCATTAGTAACGCCATTTTGTGACGCGACAAAATGACGCGCGGTAAATGACCTGTGAACATGATAAGTGAAAGGGTTCGCTCACGGTGTCGGTAGATGGAGCGGGTCCACAAGCGATATTTTTATTTTATTTTATTTTATACAAAAATCCACAGCTCTTAAAAAACAACTTACATGCTAAGTCTCTTATGAATACAGCCAATAACGGATTTTATTTATACAAACAAAAATTTTGATTTCAAAGCGAGGTAGGCGAGTTAGAACGGGTGTATGCAAGTAATATAAGCACATATATGAAAGAAACCATGTATTAAGAATCTTTATTTATATATATAAATAAATTATTAAAAATAATTTACTGCAGATAATCAAATACAAATATGCACCGCCTACATATTTCTCGGTTTGCCCAATGGTTAACTGATAGAGAACACCGTCCGGTGTTAAGTCCGCCAAATGTATATAGTACTTTACTGTGCATTAAAATTGAAATAAATAAAAAATAATCATAATACGTTTTATGTCATCATTATCACCGTTAACTGTCCATTGTTGAACATAGGCCTTAATTTGCTAGCAATTGCCAAGTTTCGCAGGCGGGTTGGGAATCGCAGTTTGACATTTTTAAATGTTTTAAGAGGGACGCTACTGCCTTTCCCTTGATCGTTGAATTCCCCTAGTCGCTTCTTATGACACCCACGGAAAAGGAAGGGGAGCAATATTTTGTATAATAAAAAAAAAGAATCACATTAGGACTGTAGATGTGGAGTTTTACGGGAGACCAATAATATTATTTTATATTTAAATATTTTGTTACGCACAATGTTACAGAGATTATTTTAGTGACAAGACAAAAGTATTTATTTTTCTAATTAATTGAGCTGTAGGTCTATGACCGTGTACTTTCTTCCACGCACAACCACTCTTTGGAATCAACTTCCAGCAGCAGTATTTCCGAACCGATACGACAACATCACCTTCAAGAAAAGAGCATATTCCTTTTTAAAAGGCCGGCAGCACACCTGCAATGCCGTAGGTGTTGTGGGTGACCACGGGCGGCGGTAGTCACTTACCATCAGGGGAGCCGCATGCTCGTTTGCCACCTGTGTTGTAAAAAAAAAAAA